ATCCCTTATTTTTGCATAGATCAATTCTTTTGAATTTTTCGGTCCATCAGGATGCCCTACCTTTTTCCTAAGTCAAGTTTTTTTCTTTGATTTTTACTTGACTTAGCGGGCTTTATTATTTTTTTTTCTTTTGAATTTATTTTTTATTTTCAATTTTGACGCTTGTGACTATCATGCTGATTGTTGTAAGCTTCGTCTTCATTGTTTCTCTGATCTCAATTGATGCATTGAGGAAGAAGATGTCGAGGACTTTGTCTTTGTTGATTCCTTAATCTTGGATGATGAACGCGAGGAAAAAGATGCGCTTTGAACCTTTGCTTAGATTGTTTTCTCAATGATGTATCAAGGAACAAGATATGCTTGAACTTTTTGTTTAGATAAAACAATTCTCTTGAGAATAGAATGCGCCGTTAAATTAATTGAAAGACTACCCTACCCCTAGTTAAAATTAAGGGTTTTTGAAAGTAGAAAGAACTCCAACTTATGGATATAGGGGGTTAACTACGAATTATCTCCTTATTTATCCACTGTTTAGGAAATGAAACAATGTCTTATATCGTCAGCTAAGTCTTACTATTAAAAATCATACGTCAACAGAATTCGATTATTTAGTTTTTGTCATTCTCAAATTTGTTATAGATAAAACGGAAAAGAAACAAATGGATTTTTTTTCAAATTTTTTTGTTTCACTTTGTTTGTATATGGAATTTGATGGCTTAAGAAAGAGTGAATATGAGTGTATTAATTCCAAAAAACATGCATGCTTACTTTATTAGAATTACTAATCTCAGAGTACAAAGTTTATAACAAATAACACTTAGCAAGAAAGAAATTACATATGATAAAGCCCAATTATCCTATGGATGAGCTTCTTTAGTGATACAACAATTTTTTGAGAGGCTTTCTGAGGTCTGTGCTTTTATCAGGGCGAGGGGTTTTCCATCATATGCGGGCCATCTTCTTCAAAAGTCAATCGCTTATTGTCAGTCAGCTCTTGTACCACTTCTTTGAATGAATTGCATTCTTCAATCGAATGCCCCACTAATCCATCATGAAACTCACATTGAACATACGAGTTGTACCAAGGAGGAAATAAAGACTTCATGGATCTTGTTTGTCTAGGGGTCATTGATGAATTTTGGACCAAATATGACCATAATTGACTGTATGTCATAGGTATCGGTTCAAATTGGCGAGTTTCCCCTTCTTGCCTATTTGGGTACCTATGTTAATTCTGGTGTTGACGGTGATTGTTTCGATCCCGAACCTGTTGGTTCTGACATCGATGTTGATGTGAAATCTTAGCCTGTTGGTTCTGTGGTATATGCCACAGCTGTTGGTTTTTGAATACCAGAGAGTGGTTATTGGCATTGAGCATCTACTGCATATGAATATTGATGATAAGGCACAGAAGATGGAGCTTCTGAAGCTCTGTGAGTTTCCCATATTGCGTTCATTTCATTTTCTTCTTCCCCTTGGAAATCTCTAAGGGATTCCTTCTCACTAGTCGGGTTACTCGAGATGCTTTGGATTTTTCAGCTTTTGATGCCATTCTCAATGCATTCCCCAACTATTACTAGGTCAGAGAAGCGTAACGATACACTGCCCAACATTTTTTCATAGTACTAACCTCGTAGGGTGCTCATGAACATGTCTACCAACTCCTTATTCAATAATGGTGGTTGTACTAAAGCATCCAACTCCCTCCATATTTGTGTGTATTCTTTGAAGGATTTATTACTCTTTTGATATAAATCTTGCAGTTGCATGCGACTTGGAGCCATGTCAGTATTGTATTGATAATGCTTCTGAAATGCCAAAGCCAAGTCATTCCAGGTGGGAACGTGGTTTCTTCCCAATCGCGTATACCATTCTAATGATACTCCACTAAGACTGTCTTGAAAATAATGGATAAGCATTTTACCATCGCGTGGGTATGCTGCCATTTTCCTAACATACATATGCAAGTGAGTCTTAGGACAACTAGCTCCTTTGTACTTTTCGAAATCTGGCATCTTAAAATTCAGAGGAATTACCATGTCTGCAACCAAGCATAAAGCAGAAGAATCAAAGCCATGAGAGTCACGTCCTTCTATGGCACTAAGCCTTTTTCCAGTATATGGTATCTTTTGGTGTCCTCGACATCTTGTGGTTCTTCAGTATTCATGCTCGGGTTTTCCCCTTGGGGTTTCAGCCTAGGGAATGTAAATTGATGATACTCAATAGATTCATGGGATGAAGTATACCCATATCGGAAAACGACATGTTCTTCCATATCAAGGTTCTTAACTGAAGCTTGTATAGGCCGAGGTCGAGCCTGAGTGTTTTCTTGAGGTGTAATGACATCCTTAGTTGTGGCTTGTTGACCTTCTCTAATTGTCATAGCTAACGTTACGTTTTCTTCGTGAGCTGTTTTGAGTATCCGAAAATCATCTTGTTGGATTATGGTTGAAAGTTCTCTGAAAAGGGAATATATATGATCTTTATGCAGATGGATGAAAAATGAAAATGTATGAAAATGCTTGGGTAGTGTTTCGAATGTCTTATTCACTTGGATATATATTTTTCTATTTTTCAAGTTTTGCTTTTTATTGGCGAGTATCCTGGAATGAATACGCAGTTTGAATATGGAAACAAAAGTACTTTCATTAATAATAATCATCCTCAAAAGGGATACATTTCAGATATTGAAAAACATTCGAACAAAAAAACTATTGGAAGCACTAACATCTTCACGACTTTTTCAGGTAGTTTTTTTCCTTGATGATTATTATCTTTGTCACTTCTGGTTTGACAACACTAACACATACAAGTTGTTTCCTTATGGCATTCATTTTTAAGACACTCACCAAAACCTTTGACTCATCTTTTTTTTAATCCTCCGAATAAGACAACAAAAAAGAAATGGAGGATAATGAATATATGAAATGCAAAAATGTATGAATGCATGAATGTGGGGCTTAGTGACAAGATTTTATGAAAGGTAACCTTAGAAGGTAGGCTCCTAGTTTTGGCCTACGTATTTTCTACCCTCCCCATAAGGTGGTTTCCTTAAGGGTATTATGAATAACACTAGAAGGAAAAGCACAAGGGCCTCCCTTAAGCGGAGCCTCTTTGCAGACTAAAACTTTTGTCTCTAGGTCATGAAAAGTCTCGTCATGAGATTTTGGTTTAAGGGTTGTACAAAGAGTCATAGGTTTCATTCCAAAGTCCTACTTCACAAGAGGATATCTCTTGATACGTATTCCTTTCGTAGAATTCCATCGACTCTAGGCGAAGTAGTCACATAAACTCATAGGGCTGATGTATCCTCTTGGCTAATAAACGAACCTTCTTTCTAAGGGTTTTTGAATTTTTTTTTTTGAAATAATAAATCCCACCACAGATGAATAAATATAATAAATAAAATAATAAGAATAAATAAATGAATAATTAAATAAACAACTATAAAAACCCAAAAAACAAGAAAAACCCTAAAAACCCTAAAACTGAAAGAAAAGGCTTCTATAACCCTAGGGTTGATTCCCCAACAGATTCACTAGCTGTTATAACTGGTTTTAAAATGAGAGTCGCCGCCCTTAATTTTTATTTTTAGGAAGGGAGTATAAAGGATAATCCTAATTTGGTCAGAGATTCTAAGTTGTTGGGCTCGTTCTTAGACGAAGGGAAGGTGTTAGGCACCCCTCATCTACCTTGTTCACAAGAATACTAGGGTTTAGAATAACGAATTTAGGAAATAGGGCTTTAATTTTTATTAGGGGAACTCGCCAAGATTTTAGTCGTATGCCTACGTATCCTCTTAGGAGGAATCAAAATCTCAATTCGTAGTTCGCAATGTTTGGTTGATGTTTTTATAGGATTGCGTAAAATTGCTTTCGAATTTATCCTTGAACCTTGTCTGGGTTTTATAAAAGAGTGACCGTAGACGAAGTTCACATTTTAATTTTGAAAGTAATTCTCCTTAATATTTTTTCAAAAATATCTTGATTTTTGATTATGTTAGTAGAAAATGATTTGATGTTGTTGGTTAGCTGTTTTGAGTTTCAATTTGATTAAAGTATGTGGTATGACACAGAGCGGAGGAAGTCTGGTATAATCTCCTCATCACGAGGACATATATTAGCCATGTGTCGTTCGTGGATGGTGAATTTGGTGAGTTACATGGATTTTAATTGTTTGATTTTGAATAATAAACCGGTAAACAATGTGTCAACCAATTTAATTACTCGAAGATGAACATCCTATTATTTATAATGTTTGAATTAATGCACAGGTTTGCCATTTCATTTACAAATGGTATGAAGTTTTAATCGGGAAGCTTTTATAAATATGAACAAACATAATTAATTTTCTTAATGAAATAAAAATCTATTTTTTAAGTCTTTTTGTATTTTTAGTGATTAATTTAGTATTAACTAACCTAAACAAACGAATTTGATTAAACTAAAACTAATTAACCAAAATGAGATTTAAATTCCCGTGTTCCTCCCTAATGATGATTAAAATAAATTAAATGGAATAATAAAATAACATATTTAAAAGGGAGTGTTAAGAGATGAGTGTGAAGCTAGTAAAGGATGAGGCCCAAAAGCCCAAATCTAGTTAACCTTAAGTCTAATCATAATTGTTATTATTGAAAAGAAGAAAAAATGAAACAATGATAATAAATAATGGGTGGTGGCTTCCTACTGTTGTCGACTCAAAAATTTAAGAGGAAAGAGAACCAATTGACTTTTCAACAAACAGAGACCTATCATAGAATGACACGTGGTAGAGTAAAGAAAATGCAAAAAAATAAAATAAAAACCTTAGTATATTACTAGGAGAGAGAAATCAACAGTTTGGATCCAATCTTCTCATCTCATTGTTAGTTCCTTCTTTACTGCACACTAAATTGTTTTTCACATCTTTTCCTTATCTCTTACAAATCCTCATATTCATAACCTATGCAATCAACAAGAAAAAATGGAAAGCAACTACACAAAACCAAACAACAAAAAATGGATCTCTCAATGAAGATGATGAATTCGACGGTGGAGAAACGATCGGTATCGTTTGCCATGCAAAATCACGGTCAGTTTCAGTTTTGGGAGGCGTGTGGTGGCCTCTGGCCGGGGTCGCAAGGAATCGACGAAGGAAGCTGTTGGCTTCACGGTTTCTTGGAGGTTGTCGAAGAGGGAAAGGGGCAGAGGATGTTGTGTGTGATAAACAAAGGCGATGCGAATTTGATGTGGTTGTTGCTTCTGAACGAGAGAGTTTTCCGCGTGCTTTGATTACAGTTTCGAACACTGCAACACACAGACCGCAACACTTGACTCGAAATTGGTACCTGTACGAAACACAAAACAAAAGTAGCAACAGAAATCAATACATTCTCTGTAACAGAAACATGGAAATATGATGGTGGTCATGAATTTCAAAACCGAGGTTTATGTGACATCGTGCGACATGTTTAGTTAGTTGGTGAAGGTCTTATCTGTGAAATTTTTTTTAAGGTCATGATGTGAAGAAAGGATTATTGGAATATGGAGGATTAGATAAAGGTTGAAGGTGAGTAATATGTGTTATGATGAAGATGTTAAGGTCTTTAAGTTGGATTAAAGGTGAAGTGCATTAAAATTTGTGTGTAGAAAAAAGTGTGACGGTGTTACTGTACATGCAAAAGATGAAGAGAGTGGGTGAATTGGCCTCTTGGTGGTCAATGAAATATAATTTACAAACAATATACCATCATCGTACAGTAAGAATAACAAGTAAAAATATAAAATTGAAAGTAAAACAAGGTTGTTGTCTGATATAGTCAACAATCCTATAATAAATCAAAAAAACAAGAATTCTAAGTGTTTGGAAAGATAGTAAATTTAGAGATGAAATTGTTAATGAATTGTGGATGAAAAATTAGGACAACAATGAGTCATATTTATAAACTTAGAATTAAGTTAACAATACTTAGCAAGTAATTTAACCCAAAAATCCAGAGAAGCTCAAAGCTCGATCTCCAAAAAAAGGAAAGAAAATTAGTAACAAAAAATAGAAAAAATGTTAAAAATACAACACAAGAAATTCAAACTCACCACCTCATACTTGCAAGTTTCATTCTTTACCAATTATGCTATGTTACTTATTAGAAATAAAAATCCAATTGAAAATACATGAAGACGAGCAAGTATTTGTTTATTCAAAAATACAAATAACCTAAAATAAATAATTATATTTTAAAATAGGTTTGGTAGTGAATATTTATAAAAATCAAAGAATATTATAAAACCAATGTTGAAATGTTTTTTTGACTGTAGAAATAAAATGCAGGCAAATTTGGGGTATGACAGGGTGCTTTATTGCTGATAAAATATTATGCGTAACTGGATGACCATAAAGACAGTTGATGGTTACTTCGTAAAGCATACCGAGGGACATGAGTGACCTAGATGGAATTTGCCCATCATGCATAACAGGATAAATGGCTAAGGGCCCAATATTGAACTGGACAAGAATGACACCGTCTATGCCTTGTATTCAATACAAATATAAAGGAAAAAAGATAATTGTACACACAAGTATTATCACAATTTTTTTTTCATATCACATGAATTTCTCTTGACTTGGGTAGTAGGGATGTGTTTCTAGATACTCCTCACTGTATATTATGTTAAATGTGTGATTTAATATAATTGCTAACATCGTGAGAATCTATAGAGTCACACACATAAGGACAAATTAATGAGAGATAGAGTAAATAAGAAACACCATAAGGTACAACGCACTTAAGTTAATTGTCTATCATTGATCATGCTCATTCGTAAGCATCACTAAAGAATTTTTTTTATTTTCCGCTGCATTTTGAATCACGGTTTCCCTTCAATACCATATATCTTTTGAGACCTTTGTATTTATCAGTCATTTTCCAAATTATACCAAGTAAATCACTTAAGTAATTATAAGATCGTCATGAGATATGTTTGTAAATACCCCATCATCATATGTTATGACATCCATGTTCACACCAGAGGATGTTATGGCCATTAGACCTACAATTTAATGTTTATCATCTTCATCACCAAAAGATTGGTCAGAGTCATCCCATGTAGCCATGAGACCTTTCTTATTGCCACTGAATAACTTTATCTTTATTCTTTCTTTCTATAGATTAGTACATTCATTTATGAAGTGTCTATGTTCCTTGGGCTCATAGAAAATATCATTATTTTCAAATTATCTCCCGCCTCTAAAGTTATTGGAGTATTTGAATTTCTTTTTTGGGGAATTGCTTCTTCCATTTGTTCCATAAAAGCCAAACTTTTCTAAAGACGAGAAATAGATAGATAGAGAGAGAGATAGAGAAAGAGAGAGAGAGAGAGAGAGAGAGAGAGAGAGAGAGAGAGAGAGAGAGAGAGAGAGAGAGAGAGAGAGAGAGAGAGAGAGAGAGAGAGAGAGAGAGAGAGAGAGAGATTTCTTCATCATCTAATGCTTTATTCAGATTATTCGAGTCTTCATCCTATTGCCTTTTGGCTTAAGAGAAATAAAATTTGGTTTCCTCGGGGGTTCATCTTTATTGATTTCACTTACTTTACGCTAAAGGGATCTTATGAGATATTAAAGTCCTTTGCTTATTGAATAGTGGTAACCTTTGGTCTATATATTTTGGAAGACTTATGAGGATCTTATTCATATGGTCAACAATAATGTAGATTTTATTCATAACTTTAAGTCCTTACACTGGAGTATATAATTTTAAAAATATGGATTCCACATCTTCATTATTTCCCGTTTTGAACAATTTATAATCTCTTATAAATTCATTTGCCTTAAATTATTTAACTTGCTTGTTGCTTTCATAGTTGAGACACATAAAGTTATAGATAATATTTGTTGTATCTTTATAAGTTTTTTTAAATTCCTTGAAGGTAAAAAACATTCATCAAAAAGCTTCTGGCATTGTGATATAATATGTAAACCTTTTCTACTGACCATCTAGTTTCTTTCTTGTCAATAACACATCAATATCATTTATAGGTTTTGTGTAACCTTCTACTACTTCATCCCAAAGTTCTACATCTCAAGACACAAAGAAACTAAAAAGCTTGTATTTCAAATAGTCAAATATTTACCATCATCAAATATATGAGTTTTAACTAAGTAAGAGGTATTACTACTCTATTTAATATTATCATTGTTGGTACGATCCATAATGTTTTAAAATATCTTTACTCTTACAAGATTAATTTTTCAAATAAGATTTTGGAGCTATGATGCCAACTAAAGGCGAGAAAAAAACAAGAAAGAGGGAGAGGGTAGAATTGTGTTGATATTTAAAATATTTTTGTGAATGTTTAAGATAAAGATAGATTAAAAAAAATGCTAGAGATAAAGATATAGGAAAAAAATATTGTCGCACAAAGTTTATCCTGGTTCACCCTATAATTCAAATTTACGTTCAATCCTTTCACTTTTGAGATATTTTCACTATGAGTCAACTAATTACAATTCCACCAAGGTATCTTCTAGTCTAACTAACTTATATAATGATTTTCTCAACACAAAGAACATACTACAACTTAGTATATTTGTCTACTCAAACAATATGACTGGAACTTAACCCATCAAGAAAATAGAGTCAAATAAAAGATAAAAGTGTTAGTGTTTATAATTTTCAATCTAACAAATTATGTAAATAGAATTTAACACACATAGTATTTCAGATTTCAATAGAAATGTATAGACCTTATAATCAATTGAATTTTTGAATAGTTATTTATTTCTTTTTTAGTAGAATGAAGTTTGTTCTCTAAAAGTTGAATGTGAAAGTTCTATTATTATTTTTATAAATATTTGATGTTTGTAGTTGTTGTGGTTGTTGTCATCGTCATTATTACCGTCATTATCATCGTCATTATTATTGTTGTTGTTATTGTAAGTATTTGTATTTGATTCTAAGAGAGTTTTTGAATAAAGTAAATTTCCTTTAATTGAACATTGCTAGAGATGATCGTAGAAATTATAGTCGTTGTGTTCCAAATTACTATTTAGAAAAATAATTCCTTATGACCTTATGACGACCGATGACGAAGCCGTGGTGGTAGAGCCACTAGCCAATGGTGAACAATTGGAATCTGGGAAATGGTGTAGTTTTATCAATCGGTTGATGGAGTAGGTTAGATTGGATCAAATTTATGGACGATCCTCGAGTATTAGGTTCGATTTAGGCACTTCACGGCTATCGAGTTTGGCAGTTCATGTTCATGAATTTGTTTGTTGTTGAGTTGTATTTTGAGCTCGTTATGGATCTGCTAGGTTTTAGACACCATAAATATATGTCAATCATTTTTCCTAAAACAACCTTCATAATGTAGTTTGAAAGACAGAGGAAAGTGGTGAAAATCCTATGGGAAACTTAGAGGGGAAATGGTAGAAATTCTTATGAATGCGTTCTTGAAATTTGAGAAACCTTTGGAGGTATCTAAGGGGATTAGGAAACACTTATAAACACATTGGGCTTGCGTGATTCATATAGAGAAAGTTGGAGAGATTGAGAAATATTTGGGTAAAAAATATGATTTATTCTTGATAAATTGAATGGCTTTTTTTTACAACTCTTTTGCACTCTCTTGTAATAACTCTTAAAATTATAATGAATTAGATAAATGATCTCTCCTCTAAAGTAGATCCGTTTGATCAAATTGGGTTTGTTTTCTTGCCTTTTATCATCCTCTTGCTTTCTATGAATTTGATTACACTATTTGGTAGGGTTTTCTATTCATCGAGGCCAGTTATTTTGGTTTCCATTTTTCTTTGTCCAACATATCAAATTTCTTGACGTGTTCGAAGCTATCAACAAATTCATTAGAATTGTTAGAGTTTTCATAGTAATAATATTGTTACTTATAAATTAAAGTAGCATACCGACATTGGTCTACCCTTTTTGGATAATCTTTTCCACTTTCAAGTTGTCATCCTTGCCAAACTTGGAAATATTTTCACTTTATAGCAAAACTTAAATTTTCTGTCCATATGAAGACTTGTGATTTTTGTTGATGATTTCTTCCCTGTTAGTGCTAAAATTAAAATAGACAAAAAGAAACTAAGTATTAGCAACAATATGTAGTCCTTATAACAATAGACAACACCAATATTGAATCAATAACCACACAACAAATGACAAAAATCAAGTAACTAGTTTAATGACTATAACACGTGAAAATATTAATATCATGCTAGTGTGTCACATCCTTCTACAAAAATAAACAACTAAATAATCATTAAGCTATGTTTTGAT